GTAATTGGAAGTAATTAGGTTGCGTGGATGGTTGTTGTTACCTCATGCGCTCCCTACCGTAAATCATCGTAAATTTTGCACAAAGGACAATAAACAATTTCCGTTTAGCGGTCGTTCCTTGACAATGACCTAGCTGTTCAAAGAACAATTTTCCCGGCAAAAATTTAAGTGCCCGTGCGTGAGAACCACGCATACCTGGAGGCTAAATTTGAAAAATTTAAATGATTCCCCTCAAATTTCAGCCTTCCAACTTTTTTGGTTACCAAGTTAGCAATTTTCCCGCCAAACATTTCACGTGTTCATATGTGTGAGCCACAAGCACCTAGGGACTGAATTTGAAATATTCAGCTCACGCATGTGCAGAGAATATCCCTGCAAAGCTTTAGCTTTCTATCTTCTCTGGTTCCCTAGATTGCTTTCCCGCCAATAAACTTGCAAATTTTCTTAAAGTGTCCGTATGTGGGTCCCAGACGTAGGCGGTTGATGATGTTAAAACGGAAGGCTCGCACATGGGTAGACAAATAGTCCCGAAGTTTCAGCCTTCTAGTTTTTTTGATTCTTGAGTTAAAAGTGGGTGACAAAAAGTACGAATACACACACACACACTGCCTCTTGCCAATATGCATTTTTGGATTTGCACATATGCAAAAACGCATAAAAAGGAATAAAAAAAGGGAGTATCTTGCCTCGAAAGGCAGATATGTAGCAGATGTACTGCAAGATTGAACTTGAAGCACTTGGACCGATGGTGTAGTGGTAACATATTGCGTCTGGACGTAAAGAGAATAGATCTATTCTCCTGCGGTCCAGAACAGTTATCGAAAAAAGCTCCGTTCACGACAACTGATCCAAACTGTGTCTTGGAAAAGTTTACTTCTCACTAGCTTTGGCAAAAAAACTTGTTATCTCAAACTCAAGGCAACTTTTTTCCACAGTGGTGGTAATTTTTTTTGGACTCAGTTTCTTAACATATGGTAAAATTTCCCACCTACGGACATTTTAATCCGAATGGTTCTCTTTCCTATGCACAGCTTCTAATTTTTTTTTTCAGGGAAGCTTTTTTCCGCTCTCATTAGCTAGTAGATATGATTTTTGGACTTACTTTTTCAGTTCTGCAGCAATTTTTTCTGCATACAGATCTCTTAATCGGAATTTTCACGAAAACATACTGAAATTTAGCCAACACGTCTGTGTACGTGAGAAGAAAATTGGTTTTCCGTACACCGGATTCGGACGTTCGTCGGACTGCGCGCTGTTCAGACGAGCATCTCGCTGTGTTAGTGGTGATGACAATGATACGCTAATACGCATTGTTGAATGCTGCGACGGATATCAAACGGATGATATCAAACAGGGATGCAGTCCATGTTAGACAATTTTTTTAAAAATTGATAGCGACTGAGGCTTATCAAGAATTTTCGCATGTTTTTGCAAATTCATGATTCTGAAGAGCGATTACTGACTTGCGCAGTAATGGTTTTATTCAGGGCCTGATAAGAAAATTTCGACGTACTGTTTAATATTAGTTCAAAATCTGACGGTTTTCAGACGAAATGCCCTCGACTTTGGATGAATTGCTGGTTGACCGTAATGCTTGTACAAATACATTGCAATTAAGTGATTTGAAATATACGACATTATTGATTCCAATAAACGAAAATTGCTCGGAGGTCAAATTTCACTCAGTTCTTCCTCTTGCCTCAGTCCCTCAGTTCATCTTCCTCATTTTCTTTTCATCCTCTCCCCTCTTTTTCTATTTCTCTCACAAAATATAAATGCTAATTCATGTTTGATATTGAAGTTGCTACGACAAACTGACTCCAACATATCATACAATCACGAATATTTCAACCCTTAAATATCCAGTTAAATTTTGTTCGAATCACGCATATTTTTTTTTTGTCATACCTATGACCTTCGGACACTGAGGAGAACAAAAGGAGACAGTTGTTTTCGCTAGGAAACCGAGGAGCACTGACAATAATGTGGGCCAATCCGAAAAATTAATCGAATTTCTAATCACGCATTTTTGGCATATGTGCAAATGCAAGAACGCATATTGTGAACGCATATTGTGACTATGCGTGCATGTGTATGTGCGTGCGCCTTCCCGAACATTTCAAATCGCTAAAATTTTGCCGGTGAGTTCCCTGGCCAAGTGCTATCCTAGTATCATGGTGCCAACCTTAACGTAAGTCTGGGTCCCACGTGCAAGCACATGAAAATTTTTGGCTGGAAAAAATAATTGCTAATTCGGGAACCAGAAAAGTTAGAACACCGAAATTTTGACGGAATACTCCCTGCCCGAGTACCAACAAATAACTTTCTGGACTTCGAGGAACAGTATATCAAAAGTCCTAGTTACTGGGATTCTAAACGATCTTGCTACAGCACGAAATACTGCAAGAACGTATGATCGCACGGACCGGCCTGGTGTGCGTAGCCAATGGTTGTTTCGAAAATTCTCAGTCATCGTTTAATCGACACAGCCCTAAAATTCCGGGAGAACCTTGAAAGATTTTTTTGAAAAGGCACATTTGACTCCTTTTATGCAAGAGAGCGCACCACAAACAAACTTTTTCAAAATTTCAGTGAGAAATTAATAAAAACATTATCACAAGTATTATTATTGCTATCAAAATAAGCGTTAAGGTAGCAAAATGCAGGCTAACTATCAAATAATGCGGCATTAGCCAAAACTACTGAAAATTTTGCCAATTGCGTACCTACAGAGTCGCGCTACCTATCCCTAACTATCGCCAACTATACTATTATGAACTACATGATTTACCCCAATTGAAATGCAGCTTGATAAAATATCAAAATGTCACCACTGTCAATAATAATAACAATACGATAAATAACAGTGAAAATAGTAGCAGAAGATAGTATTAATAACAGTGACAACGATAATAATAATAGTAATAGTAATAATAATAATAGTAATAATAATAATAGTAATAATGATAATGATGACAACAACAATAAAAATAAAGATAATAATAAAACATCTCAGAAATATTGCTGGTATCAAAAAATTATTGTGAACTTCGTGGAAAACATAGTGAACTTCTTTTTTTGTTGAAGGGTGTCTTCTTTCTCAAAAGGTATTCATCTTT